TGTAATAAATAAGATAATAGATATTTTTAGTACAGAATCTTATTGGCTTCAAAACGTTATAAATAAATTCGAACTTCGTTATAACCACATTTTAAATGTAAAAATTAAATACATACTACATATACATAAATTAATGACAATTTCGTATTGCCACATATTATTTTCGAAACAATATATTCGTTATAAAAACGAATGAACTTCAGACTATCTTTATTAAATTTAAATATTTATAATATAATTATATTTGATAGTTCTCCATGAGTACCATATTGCTTTGAGTAATACACTGAAGACTTTATGAAATGTATTGTATAATGATTTTGCATCATCTTTTGAAATTAATTTTGTCATTTTGTACTATTACATAATTGTGACGCACGATGACTTTTATATTATAAATAAAATAAGGTAAATTTTGAAAGCCAAAGATAAATAAAGATAAATATTCAATGGAAAAATTATAATTTTATAAAAGCAAAAAACGTTAATATATGATAAGTTTTTTTTTTTTTTTAAAAAAAAGTCTTTTCTATATTTATTAAATGTTATGATAAGAATAAAAATAATCAAAAAAATATATATTTATATGAAATGAGTTGTGTCATATACTACTTACTCATTTGAATAATTCAAGTTCACTAATATTTCAGAGTATTTAAAATACAGAATAGACCAGTAAATCAAGCATAAATATACAATTCGTGCGGGAAAACCCATTCAATATAAATTTATAGTAGGAGCTTTATTTTAATTTTTTTTATGTCTTAACGAAGAGAACAATATTTGTGGTGTAGTGTTTTCATTTTTTTGCCTAAAAAATTGATTTTTATCATAGTTATTTACATTTTAATATTTATATAAGTTTATCTTTCAACTATTAACAATTAATAAAATAATCAGTTGAAAATATTAAAAAACTAAATCATATTCTCCTTTTGAAATTAAAAAAAAAAAAAATACTGAACTATACATTCGTACACTGAATGATTATATTCCGTTCAATATCGGTTTTCTATCAAAGATTCGTAAATGAATGATTATTTTATAGACAGATCCATGGACACGATCACGATCACTCTTCATGCAGTCGCAAGTATGCGTTTTAGTATTTCAGCTTCTATCATAAACAGTGTATTGAACATTAACCTGTAGCACACTGTTGAGTATCATGTCCTCTTAAATGATAGAATCTAGCACATGAGGCCTTCAAAGCTTTCTTTTGGCCCTCCTCTATAGAAGACTCGTATTAAAAAAAAGTCACAATAACATTATAACAAAATCGTTAGGTATATGGATTTTTACCATAAAACGTAGGTATACGTTCAATGAGTAATGTCCAAAACCATGACTGGATTCAGCTCACTACGTACGTATGTCGGTATCGTATTTTTATAGCAGCCACAGCGAATCCGATTACTTGTAGTAAGAGATCGTGTAAGTCATTATTAGACTGACGATTATTGACTGCAGATTTTACTGGATACTTTATATCATTTTTTTTTTACACCCCTTAATGTTGGTATAAAAATTTAAATTGGCCCACCAGTTACAAAAGGTTGGATCACCTTGTGCTATATTACACTGATATAATGTGCTATAATACACTGATTGTATTATTATTTGTATTTATATACTGAAAATAAAAATTATTAATTATTATTATTATTGGTTTCACAGTTAATTATTTCTACTCGTGGTTTAAATTGCCCAAGAAGTACCAAATCGCCGAGCAAGTATACACTGATCAATATTCCACGATATTTCGCACAGGACAGCAATGAAAAATGGTACCTTAAATGCATTGGGTGAACACCATTTGACTAATATATTTTTTAGAAAATTCATTCCAACATAAAAATGAGGATGTCAGTAGTACTAGCCATCATGTAGAAAAGATTTAATACGTTGCTTTATTCATAAAAACTACCAAGGATTTAAAAAAAATGGTAAAAAAAAATAATTACAAAATTTAAAAACATTTTATAAACCAAAAAATATATGCTTCTAATGTTATCGATGCGTAAACACTTTACAGCATTTTTGACGCGGCTTCGCAGTGTAACTACCGAAGTTACGGGTGGTGTTAAACGTGTTAAATATTACTTACTATATATTAGTACTTAAGTACAATAAATAATAATTACAACGAAATCAAATAACTCACCATTATAATTATTATAATTATTAATATTGTTCGTCTCGTTCGTAACGTAAAATAAAATTAATGAAATAAATGGTCCAAACCAGTATAGAAGTAGTAATTTACATGGTATAATATAAATAGTTCTGGATCCGTACATTTTAAAGTACTAGAGTCACGAAATCTGGAACCAATGATAAAATTTAATTTAGAGTTGATTTTTATGGCCTATATAGAGATCAGAGTTAATAAAAATAAAAATGACTGAATTATGGCAGATACAAATGTATACTTTTCTGACGAGTAATTTTTTATTCTATAATTTTTTGTATTAAATTAATACATAATTTGTAAAAAAGAATATGTTTTTTGAAAAGATTTAAATATTTTGTTTTTATTTATACTATATTTATTTTCTTTAATAAATCATCCCTTCACGCATATTTTCTATACAAAATAGTTTCGATGTTTCACATCTGCCAGGCGTCCCACGACAGCTGAGTTTTTTTTTTTTTTTTTTTTTTTATGTCACGAATAAAAATTCTACAAAAAAATAGCTCAAATATATACAGTTGAAAAACTAAAAGTTATTCTTGTAATTCAATGTAATATAAACTTATGTACACATATTATGTAGCTATTTGAAAAATATTTGTTTATTGCTTTAAATATCTGCATAGGTCAAAATGTTAGATTGAGCTTTTTTTATGAATTGTTGCAAATAGATAGTCTACAACAAAACTTAATATGGCTGAGATGGAATAAATTTTATAATGTCGCTTCAGTATCTATTAGCGATTTGAAATAAATCGGGATTATCTGAAAATCCGGATTTTGAAATACAAATTTTAGAATTTGGAATTTTGGGTTATACAATTTTAATCAGATTATTACATTTTTTTATATAAATATATATAAATTACAGATGGATGGAGTTCATTAACCATAGATTATTATAATATACACACTGATCACTATTTTGATAGGAATTGGAAATTGTGCAATGTAACATTAGCTGTTGAAGAAATCTTAGTATCACATACAGCTTACCATCTAAAATAAGACATTATTCAGCTTTTAGACAAATGAAATATAACTGATAAAGTCTCTGGCATTACTCACGAAAATGCATCAAACATCACAAATGCAGCAAGAAATTTAAAAGACCAATTAAATTTATATTTGAGCAGATGTGTGGCACACACCATTAATTTAGTTATTCAGAAAGGTTTCGATGAAAATATTTGTAGTCATCTGTTAAAAATAGCTTCATCAATCATAGCTGCTTTTAAGCAGTCACCTAAAATTAAAAATTAAAAATATTCTTGAAAAATAAAATTGATATTTACTTTACAAAAAAAAAAAAAATTAAATAAAATTAAAATCCTTGTCCTGAAAAATAAAATATATGTAAATAATTTTTATTATTTGTATAACTTCTAATGATAATTTAAACAAGTACAGGAGATGCAGAACACAAAGGCAACAGCTAAATCATTGTTTTTCCATAATTACCCGCTTCAAAATTAGCAGAAACACTCGAGATGAATGGCCAATTTACACCATCTGAAGAAAGAAGTAATATTAGAACTTCGATTGTTAACGAAGTAATCTATCATGCAATTTAAATTAGTGATAAATTAGTAATAGACCGATTGTCAGCTTAATGTTGACCTACAACCTGATCACATATTTGTGCGATTTACCTGTTTAAATATCGAGATTTAATTCTGTTATCATTATATTTTATCGAATACGTCTTCACATTCAAAATGAATAACTTTTCCTTTCCGATTACTACCAAACTCAAAAGGTCACTGTTATCTTCAACTTATTTCCATATTCCAGCGGTTCCCAAACTGTGCTCCGCGGAGCCCCTGGGGCTCCGCAATGGTTTCCCAAGGGCTCTGTTCGTTACACCACAAACATTTAATAATTTTATATAATTTAATAATATATATTTCATAAAAATCTCGTCAACACTCAACTTGACATAATTCACCGATATGACGCCAACCTACTATGTAAATCCCGATAAGAAAATTGTGTACAATTATTTAATTTTAGAATTTAGATAATACTAGTAAATATAGAAACTGGATAATTTCTACCATTTAATTAAGGTTTGACTCTCAATTACTAAATTATTTTATCACTTTATCGCGCAAATTGACGAACGACGGACATGTGATTATTTTGTTTAATCCGGTGAATTTGTTATTTTATTGTGCGTATTTATGAACAACGGACGTGTATTTTTTCTTTGATTCAATTTTTCATTTTTTATTATTTTAATTGACATATTTACGAACGACTCAGTGTATGTCTACTTTACTGAAATGGAACGGTGGTTCAAAACGGGCTCCATAAGACCTGAAAATCGTAAGCCAACAACTGTTGATCAATCAAAGGAAGATATCAATTGTTGTAGCAAAAATGTTTTAGAGTCTACGATACCTGATGTAGAAAATCTGAAAGGAAACAAAAAACGAAAATATGACGATTCATATTTAGACATGGGATTCACTGAATTTTCAGATGGGCATCCTCAGTGTGTGATATGTAACAAAGTTTTACCTAATAGCTCAATGTTCTCTGCTAAGCTAAGACGACATTTTGAAACTCATCCTGACTTCACAAATAAAACTGCAGACTATTTCAAAAGAAAAAGTGATGAACTCCATGCAACTCAGAAAACTTTTATATCTCATGTAAAGACACATTCCGAAAAATCACTGAAAGCATCGTACTTAGTTATGAATTGGCTCTTGCTGGCAAACCGCACACCCTCGCTGAAACTCTTATAAAACCACTATTAGTGAAATTAGTGAAGTGTATGGCCGATGAAAAAACTGCGACTATGATCTCAAGTATACCTTTATCAAATAATACTGTGCGTAGTCGAATTCAGGACTTATCACACGAGGTTAAAGACACCATAATTTCTCGTATCGGTCAAACAAAATTTTTGTTACAACTTGACGAATCTACGGACGTCGCCGGATTAGCTGTGATGATGACATTTGTACGGTACGAATTTTCTGGTATTTTTCATGAAGATATTTTGTTCTGCAAACCACTTACATCCTCAACAAGCGGAAGTGAAATTTTTTCTATGCTTGATGCCTTTTTCATTGAAAACTCAATACTATGGAACAATTGCATTGACGTGTGCACAGATGGCGCAAAGGCCATGGTAGGTAATGTTGCTGGCGTTGTTGCAAGGATCAAAAAAGTTTCACCAAATTGCACGAGTAGTCATTGTGTATTACATCGACATTCCCTCGCGACGAAAAAAATGCCAGTGTTATTAAAGCAAGTGCTTGACAACGCCGTTAAAATTATTAACCATGTTAAGACACGACCTTTGCAGTGTAGACTGCTCAAAATACTATGTGAAGATATGGGAGCTTTATTCAAGTCATTGTTATTACACACAGAAGTACGGTGGTTGTCGCGAGGTAAAGCATTGTCCCGCTTACTTGAACTTCGAACGGAAGTTTTTTCAATTTTGAAAGACAATAATAGTTTGCTAGCAGATTATTTGAATGACCAGGAATGGTTGTGCAAATTATGTTACTTGGTAGATATTTTTTCAAAAATGAATGAATTTAGCACATCTATCCAAGGAAAACAAAAGACAATATTTGATGCTAATGATAAAATTTTTGCGCTAAAGAAAAAAATAGCATTCTACATTGAAAGCGTCGACAATAAAGACTTGACATGTTTTTCATTGACTTCAAACATTTTACAAGAAAACGAATTAAAAATAAATGAATCATTCTTAGAAATAATTAAAGAACACCTTAATAATTTACTTCAAAATTTGAATTCATACTTTCCAAAGGATGTTCAAGAATCGATTCGAAAAAACTATGAGTGGATTCTAAATCCATTTTCAGTGACGTCAAAATCAGCAGCTCTCAATGCAGCAGAATACGAGGTTCTTATTGATATAGTTTCGGATAGTTACTATCAGACATCATTTAAAAGCAAACCAATATCTGAATTTTGGGCTCAGTTAGGGAAAGATCATTCAATATTAAGTTCAAAAGCTAAACTGCTTTTACTGCCTTTTGGTACTACGTATCTTTGTGAAACCGCTTTTTCGAGGTATACAGCTACAAAAACCAAATATCGATCACGTTTGGATGCAGAAAACGATATGCGTCCTCAACTGACTTCTGTGATACCGGACATCGACAAACTTAGTAGTAAAAAGCAGGCCCATTGTTCACATTAAGACTCACACAATAAGACGTATAAATGTAATGCTGTATTAATTTTAAATATTTTTTTAACTAGTTTAATTCTAATTTTGTAGATTTCAATAATAAACAATATTTTCTCCAGTTCTTGTAAAACTATTGTTTCCTTTATTCATAAATATAATTTTATTTTGACTCCCGTATGTATACAGTTCGTGTTAATCATGCTTCATAGAACACAGGCAAATGCAAATTAACGTTAAATTTTTTTTGGGGCTCCACGAGAAACTTCTCCTTAAAAAAAGGCTCCGAGGCTGAAAAAGTTTGGGAACCGCTGCCCTATTCATACGGGCAGAAAACCTAATCATTAGTTTTGCCTAATCGTTTCGTTGTTTTGATAAGAGAAGAGGACAACGAAATCGAACTCGATACCTCTTGTGACGACCCTAATATAATCAATTACCTAATCTATTGTTTGCCATCAACATGACATTATCACACACAACTCTGCCAATCTATGTTCGAAACATTCATAACTTATACGCTCAGAAACACGTCAGTATAAATTACCCGTTCAAACGGGTTTATGTGTATGTCAACGTCTTCTTTTCTGATAGTTCGCTCTCGTGGACATCTGCAAACACGGATCGCCGAATGTGTCTCTTTGCACACTTTCATGTCACCAAAAAATCGACCCTACCAGCTTATAATCAGAAAACTGCACAACTCAACACATATATATGATACATTTGACAGCCCTAATCTTCTACACAAACAATTTATTCCAGAGTCCAAATTCTAATTATCAAAAATGTTTCTAACTTAATAATTTAAATAACCACGTCTTTAATTTTATTGAATGTGTTATCTGATATTTGTCAAATTTAATAGTTCCTCAAACTATATTTAATTAATTCTTATTATATTATTATCTCAAATTATTATCTGATTTTTTTTTACTTATATTATATTATATTAATGATTAATGTATGTTAATGTTAAAATTTATATTTAGTTATCCTACTCGTATAATTTAATTGTTAAAATGTAATAATTTTGTGTTGAAAACTAAATAAAAAAATAATAAAAAAAAATGGAATGAAAATGTTTGTTTTATAGAACATCATTATTATGATTATAAATATAATTTTTCTTCCTATAAGAATAGTAACATTTTAAAAATTTTTGTTAATTTATAACGAAATAAAATATAAATAAAATAAAAACTTAATTTTTATAATGTAAAATGTGTGGTTATTTACAATATCTGCTTAAGACCGTAATTTCGATAAATATGAATAATTATGTGCAGATAAATCTAAATATATTTATAGCAAAATTTCAAAAGAAACTAAGAGCAATTCAAAATTAGTACAACAAAAAATACGGACTTGACTCTTCTAGTCAAGGGTATGATACTTAATGTTAACGAAACGAAACGAAAAATTATCGCGAGCTTCCAAACTCAACTTTTTTTTTTTTTTTTTTTTTTTTTTATAATATTTATATTTAAACTTATATTTTAGCTTAGTTATTTTTATTTATTTTATTTATAATTTTAGCATTGAATATGATAGGAAGTAGAATCTATAAACTAATAATTGTATTGTCTTATTTCCATTATCTAATATAAAAAAAAAAACACTATTTACCAGTGTCTTCCACTTAATCATTTTATTTATCTATCGGTCATAATTTTATCATCGCATTTAATGCATTTAATATGTCGATCTCAAATATTATCTAATTTACGTGTTAAAGGTGAAATCAATATACGATATTTGAGAAACATCATATCATTTTTCAAATAATACAACACTAGTATTTTATGTACTACTATATTATATTCGATACTACATTCAACTCACGTTTTCAGTTCCATGGCTAGATTTTGGTGATTTCAATAAAAGTTAATACGCTCCGACGCCAGAAAAATGCCATCAATCACTATTCATATATTCATAATATTATCTTATCAAAATTTTCTAATTTTTATAATATTTGCGCAATAGTACGAAGTACTAACAGTCAAATGCACTAAGCCTAGAGATATAGCAAAAGTAATAATTTCTTAACATTATATTATATTTTATATAAATATTATTATGTATTATATATATTATGTGTCTAAACTTGGGGTAAGCTATAGACATTCATTAATGTGTACATAGCATATTTAAGCTAAACTTCAAACAAGCTAAAATATTAATAACATAACATATTGAAACATATATTTTGATCATATGAAATAATTGACACAATTAATTTAGTTTAGTTTGAACATACTCTTATGTATAGTAAGTGATATTAAAAATCAAGATATAATGAATAATTAAATATTGAAAACCAATTAATAAATTATCATTGAAAACAACTGTGTAAATATTTAATTTACAAATGATATTAACATAAATTCTACAATAACATGATAGCCTGAGGCGTTTCATAATTCATTAAAAATACTATATAATAAATATTATAATATTATACTCGTGTATATTAAACTCGTAATAAATAATAAAAATTAATATAAACTGTAGACCTGTGCTACAAAAGTGAGTTTCATAACGTTCATAATGTATTCTAAATAATACAATTACCATGATATTAATATTTTGTTTTGAAGGCTAATGATACACTTACATTATATATTATTGACATACTATGTACTGTACTGTAATTGTAAATAACATAATTACGAGAGTAATTTACTTTTACTCAAACGATATTTTTTCGCTTTTCATATCAATCACAAAAAAATGTTTTCCTAATCTTTCAGAATTCTTTTTCTACAACAATTCTGCATTATGTTGATTGATTATGATAATGATATATTTACGGTTTTTTCGAGTTTAAAACAATATCCTGAAATGCAGTTAAGAAAAATTCACGTGAATAATAAATGACAAGATAAAATACTTGAGGATCGATTTTCGAACGACTATAATGTTTCAGAGATTCATTAATTGAACATAATGTATCGTCAATATCTATTAATCGCGTTTTCCATCGATTTTTTACATATTCAATATATTGGGGCACAAATAGAGCTGCCAATGAATATTTAGATTCCAAAAATCCTAGACTACTCTCATTTATTTTTAACTATTAAGTATTGGTTTAATAGTATTATTTTTTGTTTACTACAATGACTTTATATCATACTATATATTGATAATCTAATACATAAACAATCATTACGATTATAACCAAACCATATGTTATGAGCAGATATGAATTGAGTTCGGATTTCAAATAATTTTATTGTACTTGAATTGAATGCGTATTGATGTGTATTGTATGATATAATATATATAAATATATATAAAAAAAAAAACAAAGTAAGTTTTGTTGACTTATTTTATATGTTAAGGAAGGTGTTCTATATTACATATCCAACATAATATGTTATGTAATATATTATGTAATATAGAATTACAAAGTTTATTTATTGAAAATCGGATCTTACTAACTCCATTCTTTATAATGTTGCAATGAAAAGTTTATTATAAAGTTATTAATTGTATTTCAAGTAATTACAATAGGTATGGCAAAGATTACCTTCCAGTAAATAATTATAACACTTCCAAGTTTTAGATTGAATGTGCTCCATTGCAACACCGTCGTCGTCATGATGCAACGCAAGGAAAACAATTATAGCTGACGGCGTATTAGAGGATTTTAAGCACGACAAGTTTTGCCCCGAGCAGTAAATTGATCGATCGACCTACAACGGGCCGAAACTACACGTATTTGTAATTTGCAAGACACGTCCGAATCGAAAACGAAACGCTCTGTCGTTTGTCCCACATGGCTAAACGTGTTTTCAGATAATCAATCCGAACATTATTTATTTATTTTTCTGTATTATTATTCGCTTCTACTTCACGACTGCGACGTTATAGGGAACAGTTTAAACATTATTATCATAGAATTATAATTATTTTTAATTTTTAATTTTTTTTTTTTTTTTCATTCGACTGGTTGTGGTGATTGCACGATTAAATTACAGTTGAACTGTTCTTTCTTGTTATTCCCCTATAGAATTGTATCATATCTGGGTTCGAAACATTTTTTTACTTTAAAACAATACCAATTATTTAGCAAATCAGTGCTGTACTTTCACAAAGATGATATTATATACATATGCATTATTAATGTTCACAGATATTATTATAAAACAAAACTTCCGGATGGTGGCGTAGGAAGTATATCGATAGCACCCCTAGCATGCTTCGTGAAATAACATATTTTTTTACTATTTTTAAAATTAAGTTTTGTTTAGAGTCTCGCGATACCTATAACTTAATTTATAGTATCAATAAAACACAACAACGAAGAAAATTATGTTTATTTTTATAAAATAATTATGCAAATCGAATAGCAAAAAAATATTAACATACAATATTATAATAATAACAAAAGTTTGATAAAAATGTTGTAGAGTACATTATTAGCGCTGGTGAGTCGGTGAACCGTCCAGTTTATTTATCATATTTATTATCTATTATATATGAGTTAATCTATTATATTCACGCCTTCGCGGTCACGTCTGACGTACGATTTCATGGCTCGGCGGAACATTGTTATGTGCGCGCGCGGTGAACACGGCGTATCGAGTAGGCAAACTAGCTGCATTGGAGTGGTGCGGGGCAAACGGATCCATCACAATCGAATAATAAGGTACTGATAACTACAATAGTCGGAACAAATGGTGGTATGAATTAATATATAATCATAACATTAAAAACCAACCGCTTTGAATACCCTATAACGGTATTAACGAATCGATTGAAATCATATAAACACGCGAAAATAGACTCAACTACTACCTACACCGGACACGGGTTACATAATTTCGATATAAAACATTTCAAACGGGAAACCATTGATTGTTTTTTCCCTTCGACATATTCGACGAACTGAATGAATACTATTGCGTTACAAGTGGTATTCGACAAATATGAAATAATATCGTACGCGATGAAAATATTCATCCACGGATACCCATACAACGGTACACGGTAAATGATGACGGACAGTAGAAATTAATT